ACCCTGTATCCTGGGGACCCTTGTAGACTGTAGACCTCTGCAGACCGTAGACCCCTGGAGGCTATACACTCCTGTAGGCTGTAGACCCCTGTAGACTGTAGACCCCTGCAGACTGTAGACCCCAGCATACTGTAGACACTTGCTGTAGACCCCTGCAGATTGCAGAACCTCGTGTAGACTGTAGACCCCTGAAGACTGTATCCTCCTGTAGGCTGTAGAGCCCTGCAGCTGCAGAGCCCTGTAGACTTTAGACCCTGCAGACTGTAGACTATATAGACTGTAGACCCTATAGCCTGTAGACCCAGTAGACTGTAGACCCCTGCAGATTCTTGACCCTTGTAAGCTGTGTACCCTATTGACTGCAGATCCCTGCAGACTGTAGACCTCTATAGACTGTAGACCCATTAGACTGTAGACTCTTGTAGACTGAAGACTCCTCCAATCTGTAGATCCCTGTAGGCTGTAGATCCCTGAAGACTGTATGTAGACCTCTGTAGACTTTGGACTCCTGTAGTCTATAGACCCCTGCAAATTCTTGACCCTTGTAGGCTGTGGACCCTGTAGACAATAGATCCCCGCAGACTGTAGACTCCTGGAGATTGTAGACCCCTACAGACTGTTGACTCCTGCTGACTGTAGACCCATTAGACTGTAGAACCCTATAGACTGAAGACGCTGGTAACTCTTGACCCTTGTAGGCTGTGGACCCTGTAGACTGTACACTGTAGACCCTGCAGACTTTAGACCCCTGTAGACTTTGGATCACTGTAGACTGTAGACCCTGTAAACTGTTGACCTTGCATACTGTAGACCCCTATAGACTCCACACCCCTGCAGACTCTTGACCTTTGTAGGCTGTAGACCGCTGTAGACTATTGTAGGCTGTAGATCGCTGTAGACCTCATCCTTCCCAGGATGCCTGAGGCTTCTTCACTTGTTCAGTGCTAGCCCTGGCTCCATCTGCTTTTTTCCCCCTTTTTCCTGACTTTCCATGATGCTGAATCCATCTTGCAAAGGGGAAATGATTGTTAGAAGCATAGTGTGTGTGAGGACAGCAAGCCTCTGGGGCAGCAGCAGCACTCTTAGGGTTGAGTCAAGGACCAGGAGCTCAGATGACCAGTCACCTGAAACCAGGCATGTGGGCGCTGGGAAGTGGATGCATGGGGTGGCACCTGGGTGCTTTGGGAGAACTGGCAGACGCACCAGGTTGGTTTGATGATATGCTTCAGGTGAGCACACGCCCTGTGTTCTTTCATGAGATAAGTATCTCTTAATGGACAGGAAACTGTTCACAAAGAAGCCATGGCTCTGGGGGGAAGTGAAAGGGGAGGAGGTGACTGGCCATTTGCAGCAATTGCTGAGGCCGTAGTAGTTCAGGACAGTTGCGCCCTCCTCCCAGCCTCACCAGGCAGGCACTCCTGAAGACTGCAGAGCCGTGAACACCAGGACCAGCTCTGGACCCACCCTCCAGGCAGCCTCCAGCCAGGCCTGGGTCCCAGGCCCTTCGCCTCATCCATGTCCTCTAGATGGGATTGTCTGGCGAGCTGTGGAGGGCTCCAAAGGTCATTCAGGAGCAGAAGGCAAGACCAGAGACTCTGACTAGCTGACACGATTTGGAGCTGTTGTGTCCAGGAGCAAGGATCAGTGAACCACAGCATGGGCCAAATCCAGCCAGCTACCCACTGTTACACAGCCCAAGAGCTAGGAATGGGTGTGTCATCAAAAAATCCAAAGACACAACAGCACTATCCAAAGGTAGCGACCACCCAGGTGTCCCTCCACTGATGACAGACAAGCAAAACATGGCCCATCCTCACTGTGGAATGAAGGAGCAACAGGCCAGGAAGCAGCTGAACCTTGGGGAGAGGATGCTGAGCAAAAGAAGCCAGTTGTAAACGGACAGACCCCCTAGGATTCCACCCGTAGAGGGCCCCTAGTGCGGGCAAACTCATAGGGACAGAAAGTAGACGCTGGGCGTGGTGGCTCAAGTCTGTCATCCTAGCACTTTGGGAGGCCAAGGAGGAAGGATTGCTTGAGCCCAGGTGTTTGAGACCAGCCTGGGCAACATAGCGTGACCTCGCCCCTACGATAAATCAAAAAATTAGCCGGGCATGGTGGCACGTGCCTGTAGTCCCACCTACTCAGGAAGCTAAGGTAGGAGAAGGGCCTGAGCCCAAGAGCTCGAGGCTGTGGTGAGCCACCATGATCATGCCACTGCTCTCCAGCCTGGGTTACAGAGTGAGACCTCTACTGAAAAAAGAAGAAGAAAGTAGAATCGTGGTGGCAGGGGCTGGGAAGGGGGAATGAGGAGTGAGTGTTGACCGGGGACAGAGTCTCAGTTTGGGATGATGAGAAAGTTCTGGAGATGGAGCTAGTGATGATGGCTGCACAGTAGCGAGGTGTACTTAGGGTCGCTGAATGTCCCTTAAATTGGTTAACACGGCCTGAAATAAATTTTAAAGTGTTGTGGATAGGCCGGGCTCGGTGGCTCAGTCTGTAATCCCAGCACTTGGGGAGTCCGAGGCGACTGGATTGCCTGAACCCGCGGGTTCAAGACCCGCCCGGGCAACTTGGCGAGACCTTGTCTCTACAATAAAGCAGAAACTAGCCGGGCTTGGTAGCGCATGCCTGTAGTTCTGGCTACTTGGAAGGCTGAGGCGGAAGGATCGCCGAAGCCCAGCAGGTCGCGGCTGCCGTGGCTGGGAGCATGCCACTGCACTCTAGTCTGGGCGACAGAGTGAGACTCCAACGCAAAAAATAAATAAATAATAAATAAAATAAAAATAAAGTGTTGTGGATAAGGCTGATCCGGTCATCCCATGGGGCCACTTGTTCCCACAACAGCATCTGGAGTATAGCTGCGGAAACCATGGCCCGGGCTGTGTGTGATCCTCTGCCCATCGGTGGAGACGAAGATGCTCCAGTCCACTCTGCCTCTCTGGAATTTAAAGCATAGATGCTGCCTGTAATCTCAGCACTTAGGGAGGCAGAGGAGAGATTATTGCCTGAGCTCAGGAATTCAAGACCAGCCTGGGCAATGTGGCGAGACCTCATCTCCACAATAAATCAAAAAATTAGCTGGGCGTGCTGGCACGTGCCTGTGGTTCCAGCTACTTGGAAGGCTGAGTCAGTGTCCGTGACGTTGCTTCGGGACATTCAGCTGCACATTTTCCATGGTGGCTCTCGCTCCTCCACGGCAGAGTGGTGCCGCTGCAGCCACGACTATGTGACCCATAGAGGCAAGAACATCTCCCCTCTGGCCTTTTACAGAAAACACTTGCCGGCCCGTGTCATAGAGCGAGCGCAGGAACGCACAAGGTTGCTTGATGGAGGGAAGTGGAGCAGAGTCTGGGGACTTCTGAGATCAGAGTCCTTATTCTTCAGGGCCAAGGCTGAGCATGGGAATACGGTAGGAAGGAGTCTGGGGGCCAACTCCCCCAGGATTGGGTGGGTATCCCTCTAAACAGAGCGCCCTCATTTCTGGCACAGCAGAGGGTGCTAGCTGTGCACCCATCCCCCCATTGGGCTAGAGAGGCAGAAAGAGAGGACTTTGCTCCTGTGAGGCCAGTCCTCCAGGCGAGGGGCCCTGCACCTCCTCATCCACTTCCTTCCCTGTCTTCTTCCTGTCCTAGGGTCAGCTGGCTGTCTTCCTGTGTGAAGTCAGTTATCAGTGTTCTCAGAACCTTTGTAAGCATTGGCTGGTGCTGGGCGCTGTGGCTCACGCCTGTAATCCCAGCACTTTGGGAGGCCAAGGCAAGAAGATTACTTGAGCCCAGGAATTCGAGACCAGCCTGGGCAACATAGCAAGACCTCATGTCTACAAAAAATTTTTTAAAAAAATTAGCCAGGTATGGTGACGCACACCTGTAATCCCAACTATTCAGGAGGCTGAGGCAGGAGAATTGCCTGAGCCCAGGAGGTCAAGGCTGCCATGAGCCATGAGTGTGCCGCTGCACTCCAGCCTGGGAGACAGAGTGAGACCCCAGTGCACACCATCATGCCCAGCTAATTTTTTTAATGTTGTTTTTTTTCGTGACCCGCTTGGGCAACTTGGCGACACCTCATCTCTACAATAAATCAAAAAATTAGCCGGGCGCGGTAGCGCGCAACTGTAGTTCCAGCTACTCGGAAGGCTGAGGCGGAAGGATCGCCAGAGCCCAGCAGGTCGAGGCTGCAGTGACCGGGAGTGTGCCACTGCCCTCCAGCCTGGGTGACAGAGTGAGACTCTAACTCAAAAAAAGAAAAAAATGTTTTTTTAAAATAGAGACAGGGTCTCGCTATGTTGCCCAGGCTGGTCTCAAACTCTTGGACTCAAGTGATCCTCCTGCTTCAGCCTCCCAAAGTGCTGACATTAGAGGCATGAGCCAGGCCCAGCCTGTTAATTGACTTTTTAAGTCATGTATATGTAATTCTTTGATCATAAGCAGTAAAACTGCTAAGTTCCCAGTAATCCAAGTAATGCACCCAGCACAGTGCCTGGCACAAACAGACGCTCCTTAAATGTCTTTGTCTTTCTCTTCTTCATCACAACCATGGCAGAATATAAATGATGAGGTGGCCCATAGCTCCACCCTCTCCTGGGTCCCTCTGTGAACATGACTGCAGTTGGGGTAGTGACATCAGTTCTTCAATAGAAGGCTTAGTGCCTTTGCATGAAACAGAAGAGTGATTGCAAAAGAAATTAGAAATAAGGACCATCCTAAATGTAGATGTCAGCAACAGGGAGACACAGAGAGGCTGAGGTGGGAGGACTCCTTGAGCCTTGGAGTTCGAGGCTGCAATGAGCTATCATCACACCAATACCATCCAGGCTGGGCCACAGAGTAGAACCCTGTCTCTAAAAAATAAATAAGTAAATGTAAATAAATAAAAGGTAAAAATAAAAGTGTAAAAAGAGAAGGGGAAATGGAAAGCTATTGCTTAAATCAGGGGTCCCTGGCCCCTGGGCGACCCTGAGCTGGTGAAGGGCACTTTCTCTATCCTTTGGAGGAGAGCATGGGGGCCAACGGTACAGCTGTCAAGGAGGGCAGCTCACCAACAGCTACCAAACCTGCTTCTGCATACATGCCCTGGCCCGGACACCACTTGCAGGAATTTCTCTTGCAGAAACACATGTGCAAAGGGGTGTGGGAAGCCCTCCTCATGGCAGCAAAAAATGGTTGATGACCCAGTGATCTGTCCACAGGGACCCAAGGAAGGAGTCGCGGCACATCTAGAGGGCATATGAGGAGGCTTTCTTTGCACTGAGCTGGGCAGGTCTGGCAAAGTGGGGGGAACCCTATTTGCTTGCATTATATGTAAAGTGTCAACGGAAAGAAAGGGGAGTATGACGCTTCTGGGAGCAGAAATGGGGCTCAGGCTGGAAGACTGCATGTTGCATGTGCTTGGATTTTCCGAAATCAAGTCAGTTAAAAGCCAAAAGTGGTCAAGTGTAGGGACTCATGCCTGTAATCCCAGCACTTTGGGAGGCCAAGGCAGGAGGGAGGACGGCTTGAGGCCAGGAGTTGGTGACCAGCCTGGGCAACATAGTGAGGCTCCATTTCTACCAAAATAAAAAATTAGTTGAGCGTGTGGTGCCTGTAGCCCCCGCGACTTGGGAGGCTGAGATGGGAGGACTGCTTGAGCCTGGAAGTTTGAGGCTGCAGTGAGCTATGATCACACCGCTGCCATCTAGCCTGGGCCACAGAGTGAAACTCTGTCTCTGAAAAAATAAATAAGTAAATGTATATAAATAAATAAAAGGTAAAAATAAAAATTTTTAAAAAGAAGGGGAAATGGAAGGTCATTGCTTAATATAGGGGTCCCTGACCCCTGGGCCACGGACCAGTACCAGTCTGTGGCCTGTTAGGAATCGGCCGCACAGCAGGAGATGAGCATCTGTGTTTACGGTTGCTCCCTATTACCTGCATGATCGTCTGAGCTCCACCTTCTGTCAGATCAGGGTGGTATTAGATTCTCACGGGAGTGCGAACCCTACTAGGAACTGTGTGTGTGAGGGATCTGGGTTGTGAGCTCCTTATGAGGGTCTAATGCTTGATGAGCTGAGATGGCGCTGAGGCAGTGATGCTAGCACTGGGGAGCAGCTGAAAATACAGATTAACATCAGAAGTGAGACTGGACTGCACAGAGCCCATAATATATCAGTTGCCTGCAGACTCATATCAAAACCCTGTCTGTGAGTGGCGAGTGAGTTGATGTACTTCAATTGCACAGCTGCATCTGGGGGCAGGCTTTCAGTCAGAATCTGACATTTTAGTCTGTGTGTGGTCCGCCCATTATTTTATTTACCACTTCTGTCCATGCTTCTTTCGCTCAATGCGCACTTGTCTCAGTCACAGTTCTGGTAAGCCCACAAGCTAACTCTAGACAAAATGAGTAAAAAACAAATGTCACCGGAGAGCTTCTTTGGAAAAAGGGAAAGACCCAAGGATGAGAGAAGCAGAAGACTCTAGGACTGCCAACAGAAAGAAAACTGCATTTAAAAGAAAATACCAGGGTCCTACTTAAATTATGGGTTCATTGAAACAGGTGGTTCACATTCTCCAAGCCTGCTTGGTATAATATGCGGTGACCGGTATCCAACGAGGCCACAAAATCTTAAAAACTGCTTCGCCACATGGAGACCAAACACCCTGCATTAGAAGACAAGTCTTTGGGGTTTTTCAAAAGGAAGAAATGTGAACATGAAGAACAGAAGCAGTTATCGAAGCCGTCACTTCATTGGATGTGCCTGAACTGAGCATCTTTCTTAGTGACTGACCACATTGCTAAAGCTAAGAAGCCCTTTCTTCTTGGTGAAGAATTGATCCCGCCTGCTGCTAAGAACATTTGTCTTGAACTTTCAGGAGAGGATGCAGTTCAAAATGTGGCATGTGTTCCTCTTTCGGTTAGCACCATAACCACTCGAATGGATGAAATAGCAGGACATCAGAGCTTGTTTCTAGGCGATGTATTTTCAGAAGGGTGCTCATGAGGATATGTTATGTGCACTTTTGTTGCCAACCAATACCCCAGCTGCAGAGCTATTCAAGTCTTTGAATGATTACATATCAGGAAAGCTGAATGGGTCCCTTTGTGCCGGTCTACGCACAGACAGAGTGGCGGCCCTGACGGACGGCTTTCTGGTTTCACTACTTGGGTCAAAGAGGTCACCTCTGAATGTGAATCTACACACTGTGTCATCCATGGAGAAATGCTGGCTAGCCGAAAGATGTCACCTGACCTCAACAACGTCTTGCAGGATGTGATTACAATTATCAACCACAGCCGGCCTCGGTGGCTCAGCCTGTAATCCCAGTGCTTTAGGAGGCTGAGGTGAGTGGATTGCCTGAGCCTGTAGGTTTGAGACCTGCCTGGGCAACTTGGCGAGACCGCATCTCTACAATAAATCAAAAATTAGCCGGGCATGGTAGCGCGCGCCTGTAGTTCCAGCTACTTG